ATTCTTCATCACCTTCCAAGCCTCCCAAGAGGATCCGAAGAACAACAAAGGTTGTTATTTCTTCATCCTTTCTATTGTTGGTATTTTAATCTGTCAATAACTTGCAAAATGATCTTTGGAGGGTATAAAATGTTATGTTATGTTCGAAATTTTAAGTCTTCCATTTGCCATGTTTTCTAATTTATGAAACTATTTTTGAACTAAAACCCAACAATTGGTATCAGTAGTCGTAGGCTGAGATGTCGTAGTAGAAGCAACCGGCTATTTTGGAAGGTGGCTGCAGGTTTTAAGAGTTGGAGGGGTAGTGTTGTGGATGGTGTTGTCAGGATGAACAGGGGAAGTTGTGGGAGAGGATGAAATAGGGGTAACAGGATGAATGAGAGAGAGATCAATAGGATGATAAATAGGGTAAGAGGACACATATGGGGATTGGGGAAAAGTAGATGTAGGTGTCGTGGAGGATTCAGTTTTGGAATTGTGGAACGATAATGAGATTTCGTTCAAACGCACATAGATTGCAATGTAGAGATGATCGGTGGAAGGATCAAAACACTAATAACCATAGTGTGAGGTTCTATATCCCAAAACACACATGGAGTGGATCGAAAATTCATCTTGTGTTCGTTATAAGGATGCAGATGAGCATAGCACTGAGAACCGAAAACCCAAAGGAATGAGAAATCAGGTGCGTGGTGTAAAATTTGTTCAAAAGGAGAGATGTTGGAGTTAGTTCTTGAGGGCATTCGATTTATAAGATATACAGCTGTGTCAAAGGCAAAATGCCAAAAACTGTGAGGCACAATAGATTAGGCTAGAAGGGTGAGCCTGGTTTCGACAACGTGTCGATGACGTCATTCAACAAAGCCATTTTGTTCACTTGTATAAGGGGAAGATAAAAAATGAACGATACCGAGAGGAGAGAAAAACTGAGAATGGTTTTGAAATTCACCCCCCCCCTCCCAAGTGATTTTGGACGGACTTGAGCTTGGTTTGAAATTACCGTTCAACCATAGCAAGAAAACGTTTGAAAATAATATAGACATCAAATTTCAGTTCCATACGAAAAATCCACATAAACCTTGAAAAATGATCAACACATAAAAGAAAGTATTTATGGCTATCAAAAGGAAGTAACAGGAGCCAATCCCCAAACATCACAAAAAATTAAATCTAAAACATGAGAACTTTTATACCTAGAGAGAGGTAAATGAAGTTTCTTAGATTTGCCAACATAACAAAAATTACAAAAAGAGTCTGAACTATTATCAAAACAGGTAAATGATATTTAGATAACATAAATTTCAGAAGTTGAGTGTGAGGATGTCCAAGTCTTTGGTGCCAAGTTGTGGAGGAAGATCGAGATGTAGAGAAAACAACTTTGGGAATCGGTTGAGAAGGAGCAAGGTGAAACTCGTAGAATCCATTATTACTTGGACCTATGAGGAGGGTAGTATGTGTAGCTTTTTCCTTCATACAAAAGAAAGATGAGTGAAACTCAAAATAAACGTGATTATCAAGGCAAAAATTTTTAACCGAAAGAAGATTTTTTTTATTTATGGAACATGAAGAATATCATTTAGAGGGAAAGTTTTGTTTGGTGAGTGAAAGTGTGAGGAGCCAATATTAAGATTAGGTAAACATGTACCATTATCAACATGAAGATTATCCTCACCATAGTGGGGCTCGGAGTTGTCGAGACTGGAGAGATCTGGGGCAGCATGGCTTGTGGCATCTGTGTCGGGAATACAAGACAGGGAGGCTTGTGAGTGGGAATCTGCATAATTGGCATATGGTTGTGTCATCATGATTGTGGATGGATCCCGATTATGGCAATGTGTTGGTAGGTGACCAATCATGCACCGGTTGTAAGAACCATAGATGGTATTCTGATTAGAATCCCAACTGAATTAACCTCGGCCTCCCCCACTATTGTTCCTGTTGTTATTATAAAAACCGAGACCCCTGCGATTGTTGTATCCTCGGCCACGACTTTGATTGCGTCGATTGGCATTGAAAGATTGGGAAGAAGGCGGGGCAGGGGTTGTTGTTGGGGACACTTAAACACCAAGTTGAGCAACAAGTCGTTGAAGAGCATCAATCACAGGATATGATAGAAGCGAAGTCGAGGGTGCAACAGGACTGCTATTAGTGATGGCAGCCGTAAAAGCCTGAATAGGAGAGACATCTGTAGGTGTCTTCTTTATCATATAGTCATGGTCAGACAGCAAACTGTGTAATTCTGAAAAAATAGTTGGAAATTATCGGACAAGAATAGTAGATTTTTAAACCGTTGTATTCTTCACGGAGACCGTATACCACGATCATGACGAGGTCTTTTTCCTTGATTGGTTCTACAATATTAGCCAAAGCATCCGAGTATTCTTGTGCTCTAGTAAGATAGGCGGAAGCAGTCTCATCAGTCTTCATCTCAATTTTCCACAATTGAGTTTTGAGTGTATATTCACGGGATGATGTGTGGGGTGCATAAGCACGTTTAAGGGAAGTCCACAGATCACGAAAGGTGACTTCCTGGACATGTTTGAAGGATGCTTCAAATATAGTAGACAAAATTAACATTCTGATGTAGGCGTCGTTGGAGACCCATGTGGCATGATGAGGTTTAGGTTATTGCTCAGTTTTCGGAGCTTTGCCTTCCTTGCCGGAGAATGAGGTTGTAACAGTAGCTGAAGGACAAGCAATAAACCCATCAATGTAACCAAATAACCTGTTTGTAACCAGGATGGGTTGGAGCATAGTTTTCCAACACCCATAATGTGTAGGAGAAATGGTAAAGCCAAATTTGTGTGAGTTGTGAATTGTCTTTTCTTTTGTTAAAAAAGAGATAACAATGTTGGCCATTGTATAGCCAGAGAAGGAAGCCGGAAAAAAAATGAAAATGTTTAATGGTTAGAAATTATATATCACGTGTAAACTGATGAATACAAGAGATTATATAATAAACATAATTACACTAAGCACTCTCTAATATATACAAATACTAAGAATATCCAAACTGTTTAATATTAACAAACATGTTTAATGGTTAGAAATTATATTGTATTATGAAGAAGAAAATCTTAAAAATTGATGTTTTTTGAATATTGATTTTTTTTATAGTAGTGGTTTTTATGAATTTTTACAAAATATTAGTAATTTTTTAATAAAATAAAACAAAAAATTAAACAATGGTTTTTCACCTAAAACTTGAAAGTTTATTGGTTTTTATGATAATTTCCACTATTTTTATTAACAAAGATTTTTATTAACAAAGTTGATCTACTAAGAAATAAAAATCATCATCATACCTTATCATTATACATTGGACGTAGAAAACTTTGCTTACGTTACAACTGTATAAGCCTTAAAAATCGATTTTTATTATGGATCATATAGTTGGGTAATATGATAAACCAAAAAAAAAATTTTAAAAAAATAATTTAAAAAAAAAATAGGAAAAATAAAATAAAATAGGAAAAAAAAAGTTATAATTCCGTTAACGTGTACATCAAATCTAACTATTAGTGGGGTCCAGATCTACATTAACGGTAACCCACATCAATTTACATTGATATTATTTCAATAAGCATATGTTGTCTCCACCTATACGTGACAAAAGAAAAAGCATTAAAATCTCCCAAAACCCTACTAGATTAACTTAAAATATAATAACACAGTTATATTTTCTATTTTCAGTTCTTATGATATCTACATTTGTTTAAAGTTCTGTTTGACGTACTTGAAAAACTAGTTGTTAACTGAAAAGTTAGTTGATAACTGAAAAACTAGCTGTTAAATAAAAAACTAACTGATAGCTGAAAAACTAGCTGATAAAAAATAATGTTTGGTAACTGGCTGAAAAATATGAAATGACATAAAAAGACATTTAAAAGAATGTGTTTTTATAATTAATTAAAGGGCATATTTGGAAAATTTTAAAAAAAACTAATAAAAAGCTAATCTAAGTAACTTTTTAAAAAGCTAGTTTATAAGCTACTTTTTGTTTTGCCAAACATGACAACTTAAAAAAAAGCTCGTAAAATAAACTAACGTTTCAGCTAACTATGGTGCGCCAAACATAGCCTAAAAGTAGTTGTTATTATGTTGATATTAGAAAGGGTGTTATTATTATATATATATATATATATATATATATATATATATATATATATATATATATATATATATATATGGTTTGCCAAACATGAGAACTTAAAAAAAGCTCGAAAAATAAACTAACGTTTCAGCTAACTATGGCGCGCCAAACATAGCCTAAAAGTAGTTGTTATTATGTTGATATTAGAAAGGGTGGTGTTATTATATATATATATATATATATATATATATATATATATATATATATATATATATATATATATATATATATATATATGGTTTACCAAACATGACAACTTAAAAAAAGCTCGAAAAATAAACTAACGTTTCAGCTAACTATGGCGCGCCAAACATAGCCTAAAAGTAGTTGTTATTATGTTGATATTAGAAAGGGTGTTATTATATATATATATATATATATATATATATATATATATATATATATATAGGGCTAGGTTATTTTGTTTCTTACATCTATTGTGTGTCAGAATGCATAGATGTGGACCATCGGATGGAATATAATTAATGGTCATGATCTGAGAGTCTATGATATTACAATGGGATAACATGTACCATATAATCACACAAATTTCAGCATAAGATAATTTTGGACAATTAACTATATTTAAAAAAGGAAATTTTCGGATTTTTAGGGATAATTAATTCTCCTAATTTTAAAATTCTCGATTTTTTATATTAATTCAATTTTAATTCTTACATATTCTAACAGACTAATAGTCTTATACATTTTAATATAATTATACATATTCTAAAAGAATATCAACAAAAATGAATAAAATTCTTAAAAAATAACAACATTCTTAAATTGTGAGTGTGATCAATCTTTTATTCATTCTTCAAGTTATTCCTATCATATCTTCAACCCGTTATTCCAGCCATTCCTATCACAAATACAAAAAAAAAAAAAAAAAAAACGAACAATGGTTAAAAGTATGTTACTTGTCAACAAATATTCTTAAAGACATTCTGACAGAATGCATTTATATAAATAAATTCTGACAGAATACGTCACAGAATACACTTAAATCATATCATTTTCTTCTATATGACAAAAAATACATCACAAAATGTTTTTACTTTTCCTATCTTGACAAATAAGGAGATTGAAATCTAATTTTGTCAGAATACTAGACATCAAATTGATGAGTGTTACTAACCTCATTCTAAAAGAATATTGTGTTTTCTCATTCTATTGTTTATGTTTTGTTCTTTGGTTATATCCATCAAAGACCTATTGAACACATACAAGCATGTATATACACATCAGATCTTGTCAAGTGAAATACAAGTAGCAGAATACATTTTGCTAGAATACACCTATCATGTAATAAGATAAAGTACAACCGAACACACTAACACACTAATCAAATTAACCTAAAATCAATCATATACAAAATCAATCATGAGATAATGCACATCCAAACCCACCGATCAAACAAATTGTATATATTATATCAAGTTCTCTTTTAGACATTTTCACAAACACCTTACATGCAATAAGATAAAGTACAGCCAAAAACACTAACATACTAATCAAATTCATCTAAGTTAATCACATACAAAAATAATCATGAAATAAACAATTAGATTTACAGAAAGGGGAAAAGGGCAAAAAGGGAAAAGGGCTAATGCTTACAGAAGCAACAATATTGTACTCCTCAATTGTCTTGCAATTGTCTTGCACCTGAATAAGCCACCAATTCTTGTCAAATGAAACCAAATTTTGTTTATAACCCAAAAATCTAAAAAACCAAGTCAATTAAATTAAAAACAACCATTACAAAGTCTTGATGTCCTGCTCTGTTGCCTCCCCGAGTCATTTAAAGGAAAATATCATGAAAGTGGAGAAAATTAACTGAACCAGTTTAAGGAATGCTGAGTACCTTTTGGAGAAGTTGCAGTCTGATGTGACAGAGATCTTGTTCTTCTCACGAGAAATCGTAACTAAATCACCGAGATTACCAGCTTTACCACCGACTTTGATTCTCTCTTGAAGAAACTTCTCGAGTGAGGCTATCTCCATGATCTTATCCTCGACAGGCTTCCCACAATAAATCACAAAATTCGTCGACTTCTTCTTTCCCCCCTTTGCTCCGGTACCTCCTTCTCGACTCATCTTCGCTTCTTTTTCAAAATCTCCCTCTACAAACAACAACAATAAAATCAACAAATCGCAAGCTTGAATAACAATTTCCAAATGTCTGAAAAGGATCACATACAGAGAAGGATAGAAGATTGGATGTGCGTGCTTCGAAGACGGTGGGCTGCAACCTATGAATGTGAAGAATAATCGGTTGTGTTCTTTTGCAGGAGGATTGGTAGATGTGATTTAGGGTTTGGGTTGAATAATTCTTGCCGTTTTAAATAATGGATGTGAATCACGAATAATTATTAGTTTCCTAATTTGATTTACCAACCAAAAAAAGTACTAGAATCGCCACTTATATATATATATATATATATATATATATATATAGAGAGAGAGAGAGAGAGAGAGAGAGAATCAAGTTCAACAATGAATTCCTTCTATGATTCATTTAGTTTGTTGATTAAATCCAAAATTTTACCAGATAACCACAATAACCTCCAATTTCTACATAAACCAACAACATACACAACGCTTACAGTCCATATTCAATGATTTGTCAACAAATTTGGTCAATTTGCACTGAATGAGAAACAAACAGGAAAAAAACATGCATCACTCAAATGCATAAGATTTTTTTAAAAGAAAACTTAGCTTTTTTCCGGTTCTTAAGACGGAGAAGATCTAATAATATGTTAATATGGGAATTGAAATGTTATATGGAATCTGAATGGCATCTTGAGGATGCTGAATACAACGTCTCATCCATCGTCAATTGTTTGATATAGAATTTTTAGTGAAAATTAAAATAAAGAAGTCTTGTTTTGAACCTTCTTATGGAGTTAATATTACCTTTGGGATCATTCTTCATAGCAATTTCATTGGATTTGGACTCAGAATGAGAATGGATAGAAACAGATTCATTTCTCGCAGCTGGAGTTCGAGTTCACAGGAAGGAGCAGCAGTGGTTTTCTCTGGAATCTTAGAAGAAACAATATTATCAAGTGAACCAGAATCGGTAGTTTTGTTGTCGGTATGAGTTTCATAAAAAAGAACACCACCACAATCTTCATAACCGGAATCTGTAATGGCAGTTTTGTCATCAGCCTCCTGTTTTGTAGAGAAGGAAGTATCACTACAATCATCTACTTCCATGAAAAAATAATGCATTCCACTCAAATCGTTTGTGTTTGTGGCTTCGGATTCAGAAACTGCTCCAAGAGTTCCTATTTCCTATTTCCTTTCTCTTATTCATTTCACTTCTACCTGAACCTTGTTTGGAAGTAGCTGAAACGACTGATTCTCAACGAACGACGGAAGAAAAGACGAAGTGAACGAAATCTGGATGGAGATGCACTGTTTAGTGGACTGAGATGCGTCGGTGAAGTCGTGAATGAGGCAACTTAGAACGAGGGAGGCAGAGGGGATGTGTTGAACGACAAGACTTGAGTGTTAGATTGATGAAGTCGGAATACCTGAATTAGGTTAGGTAAGTGTAAAGAAAGTCTAATTTTGAAATTAATGATTCTATTGGGTTTTTAGCAGCCCAAAGTTTCTTTTATTAACCAGCCTAGATTTATTTATTTATTTTTATTATCTATTAGGTTGACCCATTATATTTATAAAAATATAAAATTATTAAAATATTATATATAATTAAAGGGTCATTTTCTAGTCTTCTTCGAATCAAAAATCTAAACCCTAACATCACTCTTACGCATATGCATATACTTATTCTTATGCGTATACATATACTTATTCATATGCATATGCATATGTATAAACATATGCTTATGTATATGCATATGTTAATTTATATGCATATGCATATACTTCTGAATAAGTATATACTTATTCTCATTCATATGCATATGCTTATTCATATGCATATGAATATGCATATGTAATATACTTATTCTTATTCTTATGCATATGCATATTGATAAACACACACGCACACACACACACACACACACACATATATATATATATATATATATATATATATATATATATATATATATATATATATATATATATATATATATATATATATATATATATATATCATACATACTTATAAAGCTACCATTTTTTCTTGAATCTCATGCATTTGAAACCCCCCTTTTTAACTTCCTCAAACCACATTCATTTGAAACCCCCTTTTTTAACTAATGCAACTCAAAAGTTTTTTTAATTATGATTTAACACTCAAAAGTTTTATAACTTATATTATGTTTAGTTAGCATTTAGTGAAAATTTTACTATAAAAAAGCCAATCTTTCGGGAAAACATGCATACAAATCATATACAAATTTCAGAAAGAAAACAAACTTAAAGGTTTTTGTGTTGGGTTGAGGTCTTATGACCACTTTCGGAGATATGCTATTATATTAGAGCTTTTAATTTGTAAGTTTGTTATAATAATTCGTTTTTAAATTTTCTTCATTTTTGGATTATTGTAATACATTCGTTGTATATTGTGGTTTAATCGTTAATATATTGATAATATGTTATATAGGGTGATGTTGAAAATATTTAATTAAATATTTTAAATATGTTTTTTTTTTGTAATTGTACCGTTTCAAAAAGATAATGAATTAAAACTCATACATATGTTATACTTTCCATCTCTCTCTCTCTCTCTCTCTATATATATATATATATATATATATATATATATATATATATATATATATATATTATAGAGGTGAAAACACTTCAACCAAATTTCATTTAAGATCTAATATTTTAAATGTTTTTTAATAATGATTGTAAAAATTTCAACATGTGTTACTTAATTGATCGATTAATAAAAATATTAATGTTTTGAAACTTCTAACTCTTAAACTTATATTATTTAATTTGTTAGTTAATTAAAATATTTTTCCTACATAAAGATAACATTTTTATGTTTGGTTACTCATATTTGTTTACGTAATTAGAAAACAAGGTGTACATAGAATGACTACTTCAATTTCACATAGAAATCGATACCACTAGAGAGGTATGTTGTCTTTAACCGGTGGTAGGAGATTCACATACTATTTTTAATTATTTATATTAATGCTTAGTAATATCTATTTTATATTCCTATTCACCTTAATTTTTTAGGTACAAATTAAGGAAGAGGATTCTCGGCGCACCAACATAAAGTCAAACGTACGCCATACAAAATATGTAATTAAAATTAAATATCATATTTACTAATCGACTTATATTAAAACTCTTGATAACATTTATGTATAATTTTATATTTTGTATGACTTCATTCTGAATTTCAATGTTTAATATTTGAAAGTTCATATATGAAACCTTGGATGTTTTGGTGTAATATAAATAGTGTAATACAAAGTTTATGAAACATTCCAAAAATACAGTCAAAAAATTTCGTTTTCAAATCATTATTAAAACCATAAATCATCCATACTCATAAATAAAATCGTGTATCATGTATCATATAATATCATAATATCTGTCACATGTCAAAATCTCATATCAAAATATCAGAGTAAAACTCCCAGGCTGAATACTGTGGTGTGTGTCATGCGATCATCACGAGCCCTTCCCCTTGCTAGTGGAAGTACGTGAAACCAAAACTGAATTTGTAAGCACGAAGCTTAGTGAGTTCCCCAAACTACCACATACCATACACATATAACATGCAACTAAGAGATACGGGCCCCGCCCACACTCATGGAGATACGAGCCCCGCCCACACTCCGCTGACTTTGAGATACGGGCCCCGCCCACACTCAGCCACTTCGAGATACGGGCTCCGCCCACACTCGAGTACTATGAGATACGGGCCCCGCCCACACTCATCTACTGCGAGATACGGGCCCCGCCCACACTAAGCCACTAAACAAACATACAAATATCACATAGACAACAAGTATAACTAATTCTAACAGTCAGACATATATCCATAATCAAACTAAACTGTGAGATACGGGCCCCGCACACACTCGACTACTAACATATCATACTACGGGCCGGCCTTGGTGCCTTAGACCCGTTCCTACTGAAGGGAAACTCACCTCGCAAGACTGACTGTTGAAAACCTGAGTGAGAAATCCCTTTCTGCTGCTCTAGTAACTCTTCGACTATAAATTTCATAATGACACTTAGTCAGAAACTGATAACTATTCTTAGAGTAAAATGACCATTCTACCCCTGGTCAAGGTCAACTTTCCAAGTTGACCAGACTCGCCGAGTCAGCCTTGTGACTCGCCGAGTCCTAGAACTCAGAACCCTGGAATCGCGACTTGACTCATCGAGTTCCCAAGCTACTTGTTATCACGATTCGTCGAATTAACTCGTCGAGTCGTCCTCAGACTCGCCGAGTCCTAGCATAATCAGAAAAGGGACAAGATCCTCCTGCTCGCCGAGTTCCTGAATCAACTCGTCGAGTCCTATGAACATCATCGAGGCTTCTTCATCGGACTCGCGAGTTCCCTTATGAACTCGTCGAGTCCCTTGCAGATCTAACCTAGATAACTGATTTCACACTTCTACAGCTCCAAAATACATATATGGCTTGTTTCCATGGTCCATTTCTATAAAGTTGGAGACTTGATGGCTTTGCACAGCTCAAATGGACCCAAAATCAAGTTATAGCAACCTACTTTCATAACCATGGCCATGGCTTGGATGAAAATGGGTTCAAGACTCCTTTTATGTCTCTAGAGGCCAAATATCACAGGAAAGAGGGATTGCTTAGCACACAACCCATGAGAAGCAACTTATCCCACTCAAAAGGGTCAAAAGACCCACAAATCAACATTAAAGGAGATCTAAGTTATGGGTTATCAAGCTAAGAGTTTTTTTACCTCAGAAAGCTGCCAAAGATGAATGTACTCCCAGATCTTGTTCCTATTTCACAAGCTTGCTAGCTCGAAGCTCTTCCAACTATCTTCAATAACACAAAAATACACTCAAAATCTCAAAAGTGAAGCTCTCAATCGGATTAGGGTTTCTGGAGGGCAATGAGGCTGGTAAGGGAGGCCCAAAAGGGGTTTAATTGGCTT